GGTGTTTGATGATGATGAAGAAAGCAAGGCAAGGAAGAGGAAGGAAAAAAAAAAGGTGTTGTTTGGATTCAATTCAACCCAGGTGCTGGGTTTGTTTGCTCAAGGAAGAAGATGATGGCAAATTCGTAATTTTGGTGGGCCCCACTTTTGTTGGGTTGGGCAAGGGCATGACATGTCACGTTGCCATGTCATTATTTAGTCATTTATATAACTGACGTGTCTCAAATGTTTGACACGTCATTAAATTGTCATGAGATAACGGTGAGATTTTAACGGAATGACCAAATCGGGGTAAAAATAGTAAACAGTAGGGACCAAATCAGGGATTTTTTTAGTTCAGGGACCAAATCGGGGGTCCGTATAATAGTTCAAGGACCAAAAAAGGGTTTTAACCTTAAATATATTTTCATTCTTGTATGTTTCTTTAAAGTTTTTTTATTAGAGAGGTATGCAGACCAACGTTGGTTGAATATATTTATCACCCTTTTTGCCAAAATTTTTAACGCGAAAATTCAAAAATTTTTACAATATCCAGACCAATAGCAGTTTGAAATAATAAACCGCCAAAATTTTTGCAATATTTGAAATTTTTATTGTGGGTGGTAAAGGTGAATTTAATATATTTCAGACCAATTATGGTTGAAAATAAGTTTGCCTATATATTTCCATGTCTGTTGCCTACTCCACTAATTAAATTTTCTTGTCTACCTTTTCTTTGCTATCCTTCTCCTCCTCTCCGTTTGCTCTCTAGTTCCCTTCTCTTCTTTCTCTCATGCTTCTAATTTCTCTTCTTCCCCTCATCTTTGTGTTGCCCCTCTCTTCCTATCCCTTTGTTCTCTTCTTCTTTTCTTTCTCAAGTCCTCATCTTTCTTCTTGTTTTGTTCCCTTCGCTTCCCTCTTATTTCTTCCATCTTTCTTTATACTTCTTAACTATATTTTCTATTTTTATGTTTTAAATTTATATTTTTTTTGTTTTGCTAATTTGTGATATTAGTTGGATTTTATTTTATTTTCTCTTGTTTTACTAACCTTTTTTTTTTTTGTAGGTTATCATGAATAGTTGGTGAATCCTATACTCTGCTTCTATATATTTGTTTTCTTTTAATGCCTTTTCTATTTTCATTTTATCTTACTAATTCTATTTCATTTATTTTTGTAGGAAATGATTAAATTTACAAGGTATAAAAATAGGTTTGAGTATTTTTTTATATTATTTGTAGTATATATTATAGATTTTAAAAAAAAATTATATTTCAATTATTATGGGGGTTTTTTACTTTTAACTTTGTATATGTTGTATATTTTATTTTTAATTTAAGAAATATTATACATGTAAATATTATATAATATGTGATATATTACTTTTAATTTTTATAATGTGTAACTATTTGTGTATAGAAAAAATATTTTTTGGGAATTTTTAGACATATAATATATTAAGTAATGAATTTCTTTCTTTTTTTTTTTACTATTAGGCAATTATATTTCAGACCGTAGTTGGTCGAGATAACTTTCGAAAATGAATATAGTTTAAACATAGCCACCAATTTCTGAACCATTAATGGTTTAAAAATAGTTTCAACACAGTGACACTGAAGGATCGAATTTTTTTATTTTTCTAAATAAGGCCACAAGTTTTTGGACCAATGTTGGTTTGAAAATATTTTCAACATACTGACATAGAAAGACCTAACGTTTTCATTTTTCTTTATAAGGCTACAAATATTCGGACCAACTTTGATATGAAAGTAGTTTCAGCATACTGACACAAAAGGGTCGAAATTTTTCATTTTTCTACCTAAGGCAGTAGATTTTCGGACCAACCTCTGGTCTGAAAATACAATCAGCATACTGACACATAAGGACCTAATTTTTTCATTTTGATAAATAAGGACAATATTTTTCAGACCATTCTCATTTGAAATTTGCATGAATATTCAAATTGTTGTTGGTTTGAAGATGGTAATTATTCAAATCAATTTTGGTTTGGCTTAGGTCTATTGCTAGTCGAATTGTCGACCTTTATATAGACCAACGTCGGTTTAAAAATGAATTTTATTTAGGTTGATTTTTTTGTTGGTCTAAAATTAAAATTATTCAGACTAGATTTTTTCAGACCAAATATTCAAATCAATAACAATCTGAATAAATATATTCAAGCCAATTTTCATATTTTCATACCAATTTTTTGGTTTGAAAAATAGTTGTTTTTGATAGTGAAAGGTACATGACAAGAAAAAAGATAATGAAATAAAAGAGGAAGAGTAAGAATATTTGAAGAAACTAAAGGAAAATAGTGAGAAACAAGACTTTGAGGGGCAAGATGATGAGTCTCCATGGTAGAACAAATCTCTACGAAAACAAGAGCAAGTAAGCAATGATAAAAGTTAGAAATTAAAAGCTGGAAGAGAAAAGCGCAACACTTGATATGTAATTGTTTTGCTATTACTATGTTAACATAAACTCCTTAAGGCTGCTTCATTGAGAGTTTCAATTCACTATATATATAGAGTAAGATTCCACCTACAGTCAAATTTTACACATCACACTTACATGAAGTGTCACCTATTCATTTCTCCACTTTTAATGATTGGGATTTATTCACATTTATTAAAGATAATTATCTTTTTCATCTAAAAAGTTGTGATAAGTCTCAACCATTGAATGTGGAAAGATATATAGTCAATATTTTATGTAAATGTGGTTTATTAAAATTGTGTGGAAATGGATCCTTCCATACACACACACACACACAAATATAAGGGAAAAGAGCATTTCAGTTTTGACTTCCAAAAAAATTAGAGTTTGAACCTTAAATTATGTCTTTCATTTAATTGAAATCTAATTCAAAATTTAGAAATTTAACTTGTTAAATGTTATAATTGGATTTGAAAACTAATTATATATTCTAGTGTAATCAATTTCGAAATCTGTATATTAGTATTTGATAAGTTAAATTTCTAAATTTTAAATTGAATTTTAGTTTCCAAATATAAGAATCAACATTTAATAAGGTAATTTTTGAATTTTGAATTGAATTTTAATTAAATAAAATGAGATAATTTAAGACTATGTCTCTATTTATTTTTTTTTTTTTTGGAGTCAGAGTGATACGCAATATCCTTTCCTATATATAGTAAATATATAGAATGAGAATCCATTTACACACAAATCTTATTTATTACACTTATAGAAAATCTCAATAATTTGTCTTTTCATTTTTAGTAGTTGAGAATTATTCATATTTATTAATGATAATTATCTTTTCACTTAAAAAGTCATGACAAATCTTAACCATTAAAAGTGGAGAGATGAATGATTGAGATTTTGTGTAAATATAGTGTATAAGATTTGTGTATAATTTGATCCCTACTCAAAACAAGGATCTATTCCCATACAAATCTTAAACACTACACATATACAAAATCTTAACCATTCATCTCTCCACTTTCAATGTTTGAGATTTGTCACAACTTTAAATCTCAACCACTAAAAGTGCATTACTAGAAATTTGACTTTTTTCAACCAACTATTTTCCAGTGATATTTGCACTAGAAAATAACATCCTATTTTCCAACGCTTAGCACTAGAAATTAAAGTTTGTTATAAAATATCTAAAATTTACAAATAATTTTCAAGTGAGACTCATTTTCCACCACCAAGCACTAAAAAATAATTTAATGCCATAATTTGGTTTGGCACCTTCTTATTTTCCAGCACCATGCACTGGAAAATAATTTTTTTGTGTTGTTGACAAAAAAAACTTTCCAAGACAAAAAATATATATATATATATTTTTTTTCACCCTTTTTTTCCAACGCAAAGTGGTGAAAAATATTTAAAACTATCAAAGTTAAATGGTAGAAATAGGGTGCAAGTTACTTTCTAGTGTTAAGCATTAAAAAATAATCCTACCCAAATTGTACAGGTTATTTTCTAGCGCTTGGTGCTGGAAAATTCTTGTGTCAATTGTTTGAGGTTATTTTCTAGCACCCAACGCTAGAAAATACTCATGTCCAATTGATTCAGGTTATTTTCCAGTGCAAAGCACTAGCATTGGAAAATAATCTTGTCCAATTGGTTCAAGTTATTTTCTAGTGCCAAGAGCACTAGAAAATAGGTTTATTAAAAAGTTTAGAAACCAAATATTCAAGTATCTTTTGTTTTAAAAATTCAAAATCCCGCCTATCTAAAGTTTTAAGTCCAACAGTCAAACGCCATTTTGTTCTTGTAAAATTTTCAAAATCCTGCCCACATTATTTTCTAGCACTAAGTCATGGAAAACAATATTTATTTATATAAACCTCCAACCTTCCCTTCCTCAGCATTTTTTCCCATCTTCTTTCTTCTCTTTCATTTTTCTCATCCCTTATCCGAATTCACTTTCTTTTTTCTCCTCTCTTCCTTTACTCCACTCATTTATTTCACTTTCTCATCTTAATCTTCCCTTTCCTCTTCTCTCCATTTCCTCTTCCTTTTCCTTTTCCTTTTCATCTTCATTTCTTCTACTTTCCTTCTTGCTTTTCTTTTGTTCTCTCCATTCCTTTACCTTTCCTGCTTCCTCTTCCTTTAATATGTTACTTGAGATAGGAGGTACCATTCATTTCAATTTATTGGTAGCTTAATTTTCAATTTCCTTTATATTTTTCTCTATCAAGAAACTCTCATATCTATTACTAATTACATTTTTTTATATATTTCAAGTATTTTATGAATTACATGGAATTAAGGTATATTTATGTATTTAATTTCATTTATTTGGCAATATTTATTAAATTATATGTATTATGTAATGTTTTATATAAGATGTGTTTATAAAGTAAATATATTAAATATAATTGTTTATGTA